ATCTTTCCAAGGATCGCGAAAGATTCGCTAATTATCGTAATTAACTCGGGCGTATTATGTTGCAACAAAGGAAATTTCGGTTTTGAGTTTCAAGAATAATATTTAGCTACTGCACGTTTATTATATAATTAAGTGAATTTTGATAAAAAGTGAAGTTGAAACAATAAATTATAACGAATTAATATTTTGAAATATTAATTTTGAATAATATTATTGATGTATCTCAAGGAATTCTTTAAGCAAAGCTTTGTTTTCAGAGATAAACAAATATATAAAATAGAAATACCTTTTTTTGTAAAGAAAATGTATTTATTTTTTTTAATTAAATAAACAGTCTAAATTTGATTCTTTGTTTTTTTTTTCATTTAATAATTGCTTAAAGAGAATTATATATAAATCAAGATAATTTGCACCAAAAACCAAAACGTTTTCAATTTATTTTAATTTATGAAAATGTTAATTGTAAATTTGTTAATTTAAAAAAAATTCCATTGAAAAACTTCTGCATTCATACATTTCTAACATTATGTTATCTAACATTATGTTAGAAATTTTCCTCTTTACCTTCAGAAGTTTTCCAAATTTTTTGTAGATTATTTCGTTCTTTTTTTACACCTTGCAACTTTATTTTGTGTCAAACTCAATAAAGCAATTGTTCAAACATTTTTACCAATAATTATCAATGTTTGCTTGTAGTTATATTGCGTAGTTGTTTGAATTTAGTTAATTAATTTTGAAGAATTTTCATATATCAGAATAATTTTCACTAAAAAACCAAAACATTTTAAATTTCAGTTAAACACTTTTAAAAATATTAGGTTTTGAATAATTTTTCGGCATTTACCAAGAATTATCAATGTTTTCTTTTACATTTTTTATTGCATGCTTTTTTAACAAGTTTTAATTAATTTTTCCTCTTTACCTTCAAGTTAAATTGAATTTACTAAAGCAAATAAAATTCTATACTTTCTTATATTAATACTACATTAATAAATATAACGTTGACTTAGTTATTAGTTTTAAAGATTGTGAGAGATTTGTTAATTAATTGGAATACATTATTTTATTTTGAATTATACAATGATGAAATCAAAGATTTTCCATGTCTATTTCGTAATGAAATTACTTTGGGTACAGGTTTAATTTTTCTGAGAAAATCTCAATGAATTTGATCAAAATTGTAATAATTATTATTTAACTGTGGTAATATCATTCATGTTTTGAGATTTACATAAACTTACCTATTTTAGTATAAATATATTTTACATATTAAAAATGAAAAAAAATGCATAAATCTTCATCATTCTTAGATTGGTTAAAGATGTTAATTATTCTAAATGTTTGCTACAAATGTAATTTCTGATTTTTAACGAAAAATTTTAATTCATCTTAGTTCATCTTATAATTATTTCATCTTCAATGTTGCTCCTATATAGAATAGAATTTATAGTTAAAAAATAATAATTAACAAATTCATGGGTGATCGATTAGCGAATATAATCTGAGATTCGATAACCAAATTGTTTGTAAACCGATCATAGATTTAAGAAACACCTTAAGTTTAATATCAAAGCTTCCAAAAGTAACTTTTTTTTAATTTTATTACGTCATAGTATATTTAATTTACAATCTTATTTCTGCCAACATTAATTATCATTAATCATTTGGTAAACTTTGCAATTTAAGGTTTCACCATTGTTTTCTTATTTTAATTTGTTGGTTGGCTGTTGTTTTGTAGGTTAACTTCAGTATATTGATGATCTGCGATTCCACTATTTCCTTGACTGTGTGAATTTGCTGCTATCCTTAACACTGTTATTGTCCATCGACTTGGCTGAAGGTCCATATGCAACCTCATTCATTTCACTGTCCGTTTATGATTAACAATGGCCTTGCAAGCACAGATAGAACTCACAAAGGACCTGGTTTGACCAGGATTCGAACCGGCGAATATGTGTCTTTCACGAAAGTATTAGTTCCATTAGTTCAATTCGTAGTCCATAATTGTTCGTACTATTGAAAATATTATTGATGTTACATTGGTATTATTCTTAGTATTATTAAATTATTTATAATTTATAAGAACAGACAGGACAAGATGTACACGAATTAAACAGAATCCTTCTCGAAATTGCGAAAGATTCGTTAATTATGGAAATTAATTACTAGCGCATTGTGTTTGCTACAAATGAAATTTCTGTTTCGGATCGTGGAACGGCCGCACGCTGCAACAACGTACCATGTCTATCTCGTAATTAAGTGACGTGACATGGTTGAGTACAGAGTTTGCAGTGCATCGGAGGTGTTTGCTAATATGCATTTTGTGGGGTGGAGGGTGGAGAAAGTCGAGTGTTTAGTATGCACGCAGGTAACACAGTGAACTAATAACGTGCGGTTATTAAACGCCCGATGATCATCATAATTTTCATCGATACACCTGCCTAATAATAATTACAAACCACCCCCACCACAACCCGAAAACCGAATGTTATTCCTAAAAGGGGGATTGAATTTTATTTTTCATTTAAATTTTTCAGTTTTATTTTTCAATCCTTTTCATGCGAGGGGATTTTACAAGGACTAAGCAAACAAGACAAACACGTCCAGTTTTTTTTGTTGCTTGTTCTAATTGGAAAAAAAAATATTAAACGATTTGCTACCTTTCCCCTTTATTTATACTGGGGGGGTAGAAATGAAAAAAATACATATAACGCAAATGGAAATACTCGAAGGGTAGTTTTTTTTTGTTCGTTTTCTGCGTGATTTTTTTTTTTCGTCCAGCTGTATGCAAATAACAACAGTTAAATAAATCCATTCTGTAAATTAATGGAATTACATATTTTATCGAAAGCAATATTTATTGCTTTGTTACGAGAGGCTTTATTGCCTAGTGCTGTGCTGTATTATTTATTTTTTTTGTTTTTCGTTATTTTTTTTAACTCTGTATATATTCTGCAAATAACGGCTTTGTACCATATATTTTTGTAATATAAAATATAGTTTGTGAAATATCGTATGATATACGTATGTGCGTATACGTTGTGCTACAGTAAATTTAAAAAAATGATTTGTATTTGTTAATTTAAAAAAAAAAATGTGTGTCTTTTCATAAAAAATTATTGATTATCTTTTTGAGAAACGTTAAATACATCAAATTTATTATAGTTTTTAATTGTTCCTAATAAAATATTTTAATTTCACTTTTATTTTTCATCAATAATTAACTTTTATAGATTATTTTTATATAATCAATTTTGTAATAAATACATTCATTATATATAAAGAATAGAATATAAAAGTGTACAGTTTTTTTGAACATTTTCTCAATCTTAATTATTAATTTGAGAAATAAAAGTAAATAGAAATTTTCATTTTCTTTTTCTAAAAGTTACAGAAATTACATATTGATATTTCAATCAATTTTCAGTATAATTTTTTTTTGATAATTTCCAACAAAATTTTCTGTTTTAAAATTTGTACATAACATTTTTGAAAATGAAATATTAACAAAAATATTTTTTTTACATACAATAACTTTGACTTCTGAAACAACAAATTACTTATTTTTATTTAAAAAAAAGTATAAATATCATAATTGAATTAAAATAAACAATCTGAAAAAATTGACAAAATTCACGGCATTATCATATAATATATTACTTGAAGTATTACAATAAATACAATATAACCTTTTTTATGCGATTTTATTTTTGTGCGGTATATGAAATCCAACTAATTCCAACGGCGTTGGTACCTTTCTAATGTTTTCTATCAGTGTTCATACGTACAGCCTGTTCAAACGATTCTGTTTGTAGATTTTGAACCAATTCATCAAAAGAAGATGCGCGTTTTGCAGTGAACTCGAGTAGCAGTGAACATTTCTCCATATGTACAATGAGAAATTAAATGTTTTTAAAATGTTTCCATGTGTAATTTAATTATTTATTTTGTTTGGATTCTCTTTTTCATCTATATTTCGTAAATCTATCCAACGCATAAAAAAAAGCTTCTATAATGTGTTATACAAAGTTATTTGTTATATGTAAGAATTGAAAATTTCGAATATGTATTTTGTGCGATTTTTTTATGCGGTCCTTATCTACCGCACAAAAAAAGGTTTTACTGTTTACATTTAGTGGATTAATAAAAATAAGAATTTATTTTCTAATAATTTAGAAATAAATATTTCAATTTTTCAAAACAAAAAATCTGTTTATACTTTTATTTATAATAATAAATATATGTATTATTATAATTATTGGTATTAAGCAAATTAGTATTATCAAATAAAATAGAAATAAAACTATCAAATTACTATTTTTGCAATATTTTTATCTTTGTTATATTTGTTTTTAATAAGTTTGAAAATATTATTTTATCTCCTATATGGTAATAAAATTTTATAAACAACATTATTTATTTCTTAAATTAAACTATTGAACTGTTACAATTAGAAAATACTATTTTAGTATTTACATAATTAACATTATGGCTGCATCGACTGTTTCAAAATTTTATAATAACACATGCACTGTAACATGCGAACCAATTTCGTGCCTATCCTCAGGCTAGGAAGGTGAAGTAGTATCTTTTGCATGTAACAAAGCTGCACACGTTGGATAAGTGGAAAACGTCTGGCTGCCAATGTTCGTGACATGCATAATGTGCCATGAAACTGGATTACTGTTCTCGGCAAATAATTAAACCCGTCGAAATTCCGCGCGGATTTCAAGTGCGTCGCTTTCGTTTGTTACGTAGCTTCTACGGAAAATTAATTTGTACGAGTAATAAAAAAAGTTTGAAATTTGCATGGACGAACGTGCAAAAATATAGAAGGGTTTTAATGGTTTTCAAAAAAAAAATGGGTTTAGTCATAGCGTGATGGTTGAAGAGGAGCGTTAATTAAGTCTGCTTCACGGATTGATTCAATTCGCATCCCCTCGATGGGGGAATAAACTGCTGCTGTTAGGTCTTATCCTTCTGTGCCTTTGGATTTGCAGAGTTGCCCGAACATCCCCCGACAATCAGCGTTGGCCACGAACGTCTGGACTACGGCCACATCCTCAGGGCGAACTGCTCATCGCCGCCCTCCAAACCTCCAGCACATCTCAAGTTCCTCCTCAACAATGTGACGGTAACAATCTTTTTTCTTTAAATTGTATTCTTCTATAATATTATGTACATAGAATATAGATAGTTTAAGCTTAAATCATTCAAAAAATCTTCAGAAACCAAATTTATAATTATTAGTTATTACATAAAATGTTCTTTAATTACTTCACTCCATATATTTCAATGACTTTATGAATAAATATTTAACAGACGATTTTTATAAGATTATAAACAAAAAAATATTTGAAATTGTTTCAGTTTTTATATAAAATTCTTTGAAACTATCCTTAAGACAAACAATTACTTTTCCAACTTTTGATTTGTTCTAGAAATTTAACTGATTTTTCCTCGTAAATTGAATCAATACTTAAGCATTTGAGATTGATTGCTTTTCCAGCAAAATCCCAATATGGCAAGTGGATTCGCAGCTTTCCACATTACCATTTTATTGCTTTGCCCCAATTTTCACGTTTTTCCTCTTCACCGAAATGTTTTATTTACTGCTATTTTTTACTTTCTATATATTTTTAAATTCATATATTTTAGAAATATAAATAGAAAAGTAATACAGACTATATTTGAATGGAAATTATAAAATTTCGATATTTTTTAATTTATTTATTTTGTTTGAAATACAATTTGCTTTACTTATGAATTTGTTTTTGCATATTATTATGATTATAATAAGTATTATGATTATAATATGTAGTATCTATTCAAAATAGATGTAAAATTATGACCTTGAAATGTTGTCAGAAAATTATTTTATTGTATGTCAATATAATATATATACTGTTAATGAAACGTCACATTCAAACTGTCATTTCTGTATTTCAAAGAATGTTGTCATTTAAAATGGTTCTACTCTCAATAAAACGTCAAAATCGAACTGTCATTTCTTGTTTATCAATTCATTTTAAATACTGTCAATGAAACGTCAAATTCAAATTGTCATTTGTTCTTTACTAATTTAATAATTCAAAGTGGGATGTAAATATAGAACGTAATTTTAAGTTGTTTTAATTATATGAAAAAACTTAAAGTACAGGTTTGGTTTATTTGAAAGGGTTTGTACTGTCAATGAAACGTCAAATTCAATCTGTCATTTGTTGTTTATCAATTGATTAAAAATACTGTCAATGAAACGTCAAATTTGAACTGTTGATTGTTGTTTATGAATTGAATATAAATACTGTCAATGAAACGTCAAATTCAAACTCTCATTTGCTGTTTATCAATTGATTATAAATACTGTGAATGAAACGTCAAATACGAACTGTCATTTGTTGTTTACTAATTGAATACAAATGCTGTCAATGAAACGTAAATTTTGAACTTTCATTTGGATAATTCAAAGTGAGACGTAAATATAGAACGTAATTTTACGTTGTTTTAATTATATGAAAAGACGTAAAGTAGAAGTTTGGTGTATTTGAAATGGTGTGTACTGTCAATAAAACGTCAAATTCGAACTGTCATTTGTTGTTTATCAATGGATTATAAATACTGTCAATGAAACGTCAAATTTGAACTGTTGGTTGTTGTTTGTCAATTGAATATAAATACTGTCAATGAAACGTCAAATTTGAACTGTCATTTGTTGTTTGTCAATTGAATATAAATATTGTCAATGAAACGTCAAATTCGAACTGTCATTTGTTATTTACTAAAGTGAGACGTAAATATAGAACGTGATTTTACGTTGTTTTAATTGTATAGAAAGACGTAAAATACAGGTTTGGTATATTTGAAAGGGTTTGAAGCAAACCGAAATTTCCATTTTATTACAGTGCTCCACTTTTTTGAAGCCTTCCCCATCGTTTCGAAGCCTTACTCCTTCCAAACTGTATATTTTCATTATGATTAATGGTGTTTCCAGGTTGCGAGGACGGAAGCCTTGAACGGTCGGAGAGCTCTGGACGCGGTATGGAGCGACCTCGTGTTGGAACTACCCCTAACCCAATACCATTTCACCGATGGTAGACTGATCCTAAGTTGCGTGGCCCAGGTGTCCGACATATACCAGAAGGAAGCCACCCTCGAACTGGCGAGCGCCAGAAACCCCGTCCCGGAAAGAGGTACAGCTTCGAAACTTTAATCACTGACTTATTATTGCATCCTCTCCCAAAGCTCTCAAGTTATCACCGGTAACGTTCGCAGGTGATAAGAGCATCTTCACCAAACTTCACCATACTTTGGTACAGGAAACGTAAATATCGATTCGGGTAGTTTCAGAATTATTTGACGTGCGGATTTCACCCTCACGCGTTTATTCAATTAAGTATATAGATTGCTTCAAAGTGTTAATTAACGCGGCAAATTCAATTTCTTCATATTAAAATTCGGTCATGATACATCAGTCTTAAACAAACCCCGTTATGTAATCCAGATGGATAATTTGTTCAATAATTCTACGTACTTAATCAACAGATAACTTCTTTATAAAGTTTAGATCAAAAACATTTTTACAAATTTTATTTAAAATTTCTTTAATTTTGCGCAGATTATTAAAGAAACAAATTCGTAAATTTGTCACATGTCAAAAAAAGACTTTAATAAATGTTGTAAATTACCTTTAAACTTCAATTAAGACATTTATTTTATTTCCAAAAAAAAACTCAGTTATTAAAAATTTGAATATTTTATTTAATATAAAATAAATGAATGTACAGAAACTACTAGCATGCAAAATTAATTCCTTCCGATTCAACGGGCAAATGTTAATTAAACTAATTAAAATATTTGTATTGCAGAATAATGAATGAATAAAAAGAGCAAACAATTTTAAATCTGTTCGAATTCAATTAACAATCGAAAAACAATTTTGCAAATATTTAATACTTAATAAATAAATACCGAAATGTCCAATATGCACAGCTCGAAATCGATATTGATATTAATTGAATACGTTTGATTGCGTCATGCATCGAACACAAACGTTTGTAATATCTTGTAATTAAAGCTACTGGGTTTCCTAACTCGTAATACTGTTTAGTATATAGCGTATGTGTATCATGTATAAATGATGTCGTTTATACGTAATAGCTATAATTCTCTACGTAGTGAGACTTTGTGCCAGCAAATATGGACTCTAGGTATTATTATTATTATGTATATTCAATATGCATATAGATCGGGTATAAAGTTACGTTTTCAAGCGAAATGTCGGCTAATTAATTTGAATTAGTAATTAGGCACTAATTGATACGTGCGCCCCGATAATTTATGACCGTGTGCGGTTCGCTCGGAACGCATTTATTAGGTTTATTACTTTGCAGCATGTTCGATTATTAATTGTCGTTCATTGCCCATCGTTAAAACATAATATCACAGCATCCCATGTTTCTAAGTATAGAAAAAAAATTGAGTACTAAAGCAACGCACACTAACGACACTTTGTTTCATTGATAATTAGCGAGTTTAATGGCCCTACAAAACACAATCAATTGATAATTATGGTTGTATTACGTGGAATTGATAGGATTATTTGTACTAATCTACATGATGATATTGTTTGCTAATCTGATCCAGAGAAGATACTGAAAACTTATTGTAAATAGTAAAGTCATGTTTCTAAATATAGGAAAAACTGTCAACTGGAGTAACAACACTTTGTTTCATTGATATAAAAATTATATTGGAAAGTTATCGTCTATAAATAGTTAAATTATAATCAAAATTTATCTTAATAAAAGGTGTCCCAAAATTAACGCAAGATTTGAATTTGCTTTGTTTTTTTGGGTTTTTCAATACTTTACTGCACAAATGGCGGCAAATTCAAATCTTGGGACACCCTTTATTTATATTATATAAATTTAAATATTCGATAACAAATAAAGAAAAATTAATAGATTATTGAAAAATCTTCTTATATGAATTTAATTTGTTCCAATATATTATTAACTTTATTAATATTTTGAAGTGATGTTACTTTTTTTTATATAATATTCTGAGAAGTTGTACATAAAATAAATATTTCAAGAAACGAATTACACGTCTTTCATAATAAAAAAATCTCAATTAAAGTCCAAATATGTTTGCAGAAGTTGTCCTCGATATTTAGTCGTCAATACCGTCGAAACCAATAACGGAATCCTTGCAAGTCAAAAGCTTCTTACCGTTCACACGCAAAATAAAAAAAAATGGAATACTCTTAAGAGGAATAGAAGAAATATTCTTGTACTCCAGTTTATTCCATCCATCTCGGGGGCGCATAAATTTGTTACGAACTTTCCCGTCTTTTCTTTTCTTCTATTTCCTCTCCCCGGGCCTTCACTGCCTTTCATTCCCTTTTATTTTATTTCATTTCATTTAGAAATGTTTAAGATGATTTACAATTTTTTTTCCCTCTTTTCTTTTGACTCGCAGACCAAAGTTATTTTTCATCTCGTCCGCCCTGCATACGCGCATTATTACTTCCCCTTTTCTTTTTCCCTCGAGTTTCCTTCCTCGAAGTGTATGAACGATTTTTTTTTGCAAAAGTCCCGAGTGGATTATAAATGTAATTATTTATTAAAAGACGAAAGTCCTTATTTTCATTATTTAGTTATAGAAGAAATATAATAATAATAATGAAAATACGGGAGAAGGCGATCCGCTTCAGCTCCAGACGACGTAATCACATTATTCTCAGCGATTTCACCGAGGAGTTAAGTGAATTTATAAATTCGAAACTATGGTAGCTTTCAGCTTAAGTTGATCCTGCCCCTATGCGTTTACTCTTTTCTCCCTGTTTCGACCCTAGTTTAACCTTTTTTTTTCCTGCCCTTTTGGCCGAGAAGTTCCTGCAAGTCTAGACACACGGAAAACTTTTCTAATTTGGCGTGATCACGCAATTTAATTTAATTAGCGCGCACGGGAGATTGCATAAGCCAATTAAATAAATCCTTTGCGTCCTTCCGAGCGTTTGCTTCGAAGAAGGGCGGAGATACTTTATTATCGTTTTAAACGGTTTAAAGTGTATTTAAAACGGGGGAGTGCCGTTTGCTCTTTTACATTCTAATTATCCTTGCGATTCGTCTCACGTTCTTCTCCTACCCGGATCTAATACGATCATAAATAAACCCTTTTTGTTCTTGATGTTATTGTCTGTTCAAATAGAATGCATCCAGTTTGCGTAACCCAATACGAAACAGTTGCAGCAAACATACAAACTAAGAAATGAACACAGTTCCTGTTAATATAACCCTTCGTTACTCGCGTGGCGTCTATACTAATTTATATAAATACATAATTGATTAGATTAATGCAAAAAAATATAAAATCAGTACTTGCATGTTGTCTGATAGACTTACTCGAGAATGACGTGATGTACTTTTACAAATCTTCAGTCAATATGAGGAAGGTACATAAGTTGGGTACATAGGATCTTATACGATCATAAATAAACCCTTTTTCTTGTTGATGTTATTGTCCGTCCTAATAGAATGCATCCAGTTTGCGTAACGAACACATTTCCTGTTAATTTAACCAGTCGTTACTCGCGCGGCGTCTGAGAAACTCCTTTACATATAACGTTAGTAATTAATTTATATAAATACATAATTGATTAGATTGATGCAAAAAAATATAAAATCAGTACTCGCATGTTGTCCGATAAACTTACTCGAGAATGACGTGATGTACTTTTACAAATCTTCAGTCAGTATGAGGAAGGTACATAGGTTGGGTACATAGGACCTTATACGATTATAAATAAACCCTTTTTGTTATTGATGATATTGTCCGTCCTAATAGAATGCATCCAGTTTGCGTAACAAACACATTTTCTGTTAATTTAACCAGTCGTTACTCGCGCAGCGTCTGAGAAACTCCTGTAAATGTAACGTTAGTAATGCATTTATATAAATACATAATTAATTAGGAAGGTACATAAGTTGGGTGCATAGAATATTATACGATCATAAATAAACCCTTTTTGTTGTTGATGTTATTGTCCGTCCTAATAGAATGCATCAAGAGGAACTCCTTTAAATATAACATTAGTAATTAATTTATATAAATACATGATTGGTTAAATTGATGCAAAAAAATAATATAAAATGAGTACTCACGTGGTGTCTGATAGACTTACTCGAGAATGACATGATGTACTTTTAGAAATCTTCATTCAGTATAAAAAAGGTACATAGGTTGGTGTTTCAATTTTATAAGGTATGGTTGATATTGTACTCATTTGCGTCTCATAGACGCCACACGAGTAACGGGATGTTAATATCAGTTGTTATCTTTTGCATTTGGTGTATCTGTAATGGTTCTTCTTTTCAGTAAGCGCCGTAGACTGCGGAAGCGCCGTCTCCACTTACGTCATCGTCCCACTGGTCACCTTACACGTTCTACTCCTAATCAACAGTTAACTTCGTTTGTTTTACACCTGCATATATACAGTTATTTTTTTCTATTGTTGTTAGTGGTTTATTTTTAAATTATATAATTCATACATAAATAATTTCAGCAACGGAGCAAGAGGGTATTTTCACCGATTAAACAATACATTTTTAATCCTTCTTCACCAAAGCTACACACGCCGTTTTCTTTTAAATATTTTAAACTATTGTAAGAAGTCGCTTACAGTGATCAGTTTACAAATTGTAATTTATTAATCTGCTTATTAACACTAAATCTACCGACACTTTTTGTATACCTTATAAATAAACGTAAATAATAGTCAATATGTGAAAGATGTGAAGAAATTTGAAAACGGTCAAATTGATCGTGGTAGGTTTAGTGTTAAACAATTTACACATGCCGTTTTCTTTGAATTTGTTAAACTAATAAAAAAGTCGCTTATTGTGATCAGTTTTACAAAAAATGTAATTAATTGCAATTTGTTCAAGATTTTTAATAAATTTTATTATTTACATAAATACAATTGTTGTTACTTAAATTTATAGAAAAATACAAGTAATGATTTTTTTTATAATAAAGGTAATTCTATTAAAAATAACAATAATTACAACAAACATTTCTTAAACTTTTGCTATTAGTTAACTATTCAATTAAAAATGCAATTAAAAATAAACTACAATGAGATTTTAAGTAATAATTAAGACATTATATAAAAATGTTACATAAATAATGGAAATAAACAAATATAAGTCAATTTCATAAAACTGTATAAAAACAAAGCGAATTTATTAAAGATTCGTTTATAATTACAGTTTAAGGCAAAAAAAAATCAACTTTATTTCAAAACAAAAATACAAATTTTCTCCATATTTTTTATAAAAAAAAATGTTTATATTGTATTAATATAACGTCATTGGTCATAAGCCTATAAAACTTTTTTTTACACTAATTTATGACACATTAAAATAAATAATGATAAAATAACATCTAAACTGAGAATTTATATTTTTTAAATTTATTAATATTATTTAAAGGTATTTAACCTTTTGCGGACGACCGGCGCATATATCCGCCCATAACATTATTGACATTAGAGGCACCAGTTATCAACTGTTTCGCGAACAACAATTGACAATACAACCTTAAAAACTCTCCATTTCCATATGGGATAATATTAATTAATGATTATTTAATTTAAATTGCTAATTGTAATTGAATCATTTTTTCATCAAATTTTGTTTATTAATATTGATCACAATAACCGACTTTCAACAATATTTTTTATCTATACTATATTGTGTATTTACACTATGTATATTATATAACTTTTCATTGGGGGAATCTATTTTAAATACTCGTAGCTCGAGGATTTTTCTCGTTCTCTGGTATGGGGCTAAATCAGTGTTGTCGTGAGTTTAGATTCTAGTTCTATAGCAGTTCTGATAATTATTATTATTTTTTTTTATATCATAGTGCTCTCTTCTGGATGTTTTAGCTGTATATAATTTTTACCTATGTTTTCAAACATGAACATAGCACACACGAAACGTGATCGATGATTATAAAAAAAAATATAATAAAAATAAATAAGAGGAAAAATGTTTAACTGTGATAACTATTAATAAAATGAAAATAAAGCAAGAGCAATGCAACCTGAATGGTGACTGTGTTTTATTTATTTATATACAGTGGAACCTCGCTTAAGGAGTTTAATCCGTTCCAAAATTTCCTGATTTTTACATGTGTACACAAGTTTTTAAAATGATGTAGAAGGCACGCAATCTCTTCTCATCGTCACTCGTTAAGCGAATCATTTTTCTTACAATTAATTTTGCTCGTTATGCGAATTTTGTCTCTTTAAGCGAGGTTCCACTGTATTTATTTATCAAGATCCAGACTTTATAAATCCCAAAGGATGAGAACCATATTGGTCCAGATACTATCTCCTCATCCTCCTTCCTCCGCACATTGGGATTAACCGACGTAATCTGTTTTATTAGTTTCTTTTTTTTTCTTGTACTGTGCCCGGAGGAAAGTTTTTAATTTGATACTTGACTTCTCTGACCGATCGATCTTGTCCCCGAACT